TAACATCACACAAATTTGCTGCTTCTCCTAATGCATATTTCTTGAGAAAGGCTTATCTTAATTGCTCTCCTGAGCTCCAAGCTTATCATTCAGGATCTACTATCTCTCATATGAGCCTCAAATCCAGTATGTCTAAAACCCATAAATTTTTTCTCTTCTACATAAACAGAAAATTGACATCTCAATGACCAATCAGAATCCTAGAAGTCTTCTTGGGATGCTTCTTCCCTCCCTCTGAAAGGATTCCAATCACTTTCCAATTTGCAGACTATACTTCTTTCTTTATACTTTCTTTCTCTAATTCATTCTCTACTTCACTCCATCATTTCATAGCCAGATGACTGCATCAGCCACATCACTGGCCTCTGCCTCAGTAACAGTCCTAAAATGGAAATCTGTTCATATCATTTTCCCATTTAAAATTCTTTAACAGCTGGATGTAGTGGTACACACCTGAAATCCTAGCAATTTGGGAGATTGAAACAGGAGGATCACAAGTTCAAGGTCAGCCTCGGTAACTTAGCAAGACCCTGTCTCAAAAATAAGAAGTGCTAAAGATGTGGCTCAGTGATAGAATGTACCTGGTTTCAATCCCCAGTACTGGAAAAAAATTCTTTAATGATTCCCCCTTAGCTTTAAGACTGTAGCTCAAATATTTTAGTTTAGCACATTGGCCTTTCTTTTTATTTTTTACTTGGTACATTATAATTATGCAAAACAGTGGATTTCATTGTGATATATTCATACATGCACATAACATAATATGGTCAATTTCAATCCCCAGTACCTTCTCTTTCACTTCTCCCCTCCCTCCCCAAATTCCCATCCTCTACTCTACTAGTCTCCTTTCTACCTTGTGAAGTCCCTGTTATTGTTTTTGTTGTTTTCCCTTTTCCTCGTTAGCTTCCACATATGAGAGAAATTCTACCACCTTTGCCTTTCCAAGTTTGGCTTATCTCAATAATATTTGGTCTCAAGTTCCATCCATTTTCCTGCAAGTTACATGATTTCACTCTTCTTTATGGCAGAGTAAAATTCCATTGTGTACACATATCACATTTTCTTTACCTGTTCATTCATTTAGGCTATTTCTACTACTTGGCTATTGTGAATTGTGCTGTACGCACACATGCATGAACACACAAACACACCAAAATAGATCATTATATGGTAGGGTTGTGTGTGTGTGTGTGTGCATGTGTGCATGTGCATGCACAAGCATGTATTTGTGTGCATGTGTGTTTTATAGGTAACTACAAAATGTTTCTTAAGTAGGGTACTGTCTATACTAAGGAAAATGCCATAAGGCATAATCTGAAGTGGACACAGATATCCCACTGTCTTATGATACCCTACTATTCAGATGCACAAATTAGCAGAAGCCAAGTTTGGTGGTAGAGAAATAGCAACTCTTTACCACATTCAAATGTACAGGAGTTTTTAGGGATGTGGAAGAGCAAAAGGTGGGTGGGGAGAAAAAAGGCAGAAGAGCAAAGAGATAAAGTTGCTAAAGTACTTCTAAAATTTCTAACATCCAAATTGAAGCCATTTGGGATATTTTAGGGGGGATTGTTCTCTTTATATATGAAAGTAGAGTGTATTTTAACATACATGGAACTTATGATATATTGTTACAACACAGAAACACCTCACTTCCATCTTCCCAAGTTCCTATATGGTTTGCTGTATTCATAGGCAATCATTATTCACAGAGAGAGATATATCAAGGGAGAAAAAGTCAACTTCCAATTCTGGGTGAATATAATGCAGAATAGGAATACAAAGTCAACCCATAAATGAAAGCATGACTTCAGTGGAAGCAAAAGCTTAGAGCCAGGGGTGGGGTTGTGGCTCAGTGGTAGACTCACACATTTGAGACCCTGAGTTCAACCCTCAGCACCACATAAAAATAAATAAGTGAAATAAAGGTATTGTGTCCAACTACAACCAAAAAATAAATATTTTTTTAAAAAGCTTAGAGCCAGAGGTGACCCTGGATATATGAGTTCCCAGAGAATTCACAGAAATCTTGAAGAAGACATTATATTTGACAGGATATGGAATGAGGGTACACACCAATTATATCTAGATCTTAAAGGCAAAAAGATCCCAGCAGACAAGTGGTTTTTTTGACCATAAGTAAGTAGATTGTAAGTAAATGAAACATGAAGGGTTTTTTTTTTTTGGGGGGGGGGGGAATACAAGCAAGCTGGCAATGGTCACTTAAAGCTCTTATTGGGTTATTAAGAGAAAGTCATGCCAAACTAACTTCATTTCCTTTATAACTAGGATTACTAAACTGATAAATCCATGATGCCACAGACAATATATCTTGATTTCAAAAAGGCTTTTGGGAAAGAGCTTGAAGCTAAAATAAAGAAACATAGTTTATACAGTAACCCAATAAAGGGAGCAAAAAGCTCATTTCAATAACTTTACTCAAAGTATACTAATATTTGATTGGTATTAACACAAAGATAGATATGGCACTGTTGTCCATGTCATTAAATATTTTTTATGAATAACTTGGTTAAAGAAATTTGATATTGACACCAGGCTAAGAGGAGATGACAAAATCAAGAGCTAAAAAGATCCTGAGGAACTGTAACAAAAATTCAAAATGGACAAAATCAGTTGGCAGAATGCTTGCATTGCATGCATAAGGCCCTGGGTTCAATCCCCACCACCACCACACCAAAAAAAAGGCTCAAATTCAATAAATGTAACTGTGACATCTACCTTTTCATATTAAAAAAAGATAAACTAGTATAATATGAGAAAGACCTGAATTAAGAGTAGTTTAAGTTCAGACTTGGCAGTATTATAACTCTCAAAATCAACATGAACCAACAGCATGACAAGGCTACTGTAATACTTAAGACAATGTTAGACATTAAACATGGAGGAAATTATCTGAGTATATTTTGGAATATTCACATCAAACAGTTTATTTAGATTTCAAACTGTTTTGATTTCTACATTTTATGTGAGTTACTTACAATCTAGAACATGCATAGAAAAACATTTCCAGAAGTGATTTGGAGAATTTCTATTCTTATAATGGCAAAGTAGTAATTCAGTCCAATTCTAATGCTGAGGAAAATGAATAAGGTTTGATGAAAAATAAAATACTTCATCTTAACAACATCAGAGTTAATAAGATAGAAATTTCATGAGTGCAAAAAATGAAATGCTCAGCACACAATCAAATATAGCAATTCACATGAAAAGATAAGACAACATGAGCCAAACCCATGAGCAAACATCAAGAAGACCATAGCAGAAACAGACACCCAGAAAGTCTGGACACTGGGTCTTTCATACCTTAAGTATAAGACAACCTGTTTATCATGTTCAAAAACAGATCAAAATAAAGATTCAAATTTTTGAAAGGAAACTAAAAATTATACCTGTGACATAGGCAATTTTTAAAAATATATAAAATTTCTAGAGTGTTCAGAGTCATCTAAAACTGTCATACAAGGCACATTCAAGGATCAATAAATTTTTAACTTAGATAAGGAAGACATAGACAAACCCTAAGAGTGAAAATTATTTGAAAAATACCTTTTCTGTTTCTTGTAATGTTGAATTAGTAATTCAGTCCAATTCTGCCGCTGAGAAAAATGAATAAACTCTGGTTTAAGCAAAGACAAACAACTTTATTTGCTCTGGCAGTATTTCTCAGCAACTTTAATATGCTTATGTGCATTGAAAACTTTCAGAGCAAATTTCTGCGTGTGATTCTGACCATAAAAAACAAAACTCTTATTCATGTTCCATATTTACAAGATCGGTGCTAAAGAATACTTTTTAGGAAACGTTAGGCTAAATAATCTAATCTTGATCATCTCAAAAAACAAAAATAGGTATTTTAGCCAAACATGGTGGTGCATGCCTATAATACAGTGACTAGGGAGGCTGAGGCAGGAGGATCACAAGTTGGAGGACAGCCTCAGCACATAATATATATGGTGAGAACCCGTCTCAAAATTTAAAAAAAATAAAATGAGTTTGGGATGTGGCTTAGTGATAAAGTGCCTCTAGGTTCAATCCCCAGTACCCCCCCCAAAAAAAAAATAGCATCTTAATTCTACACAACACCTTAAAAGAAGTGAGTTGATAGCAATTCATGTATCAATGTTCCACAGGGATGCAATAATTATGTGAGTGACTTACAATTTAACACAAATTGTCTCCCTTTCTCTTTGAAGATGCCACTTCACTTTTCACAGAAGAGGTATCATTTTGTGCTATACATACTTATAAGTTCCTTAAATGATCTATACCAAATACAGGTTCTGGCAAGGCACCAGCAAGTGTGGGAGAAAATTCTTTGCAAACTTTTCTTCTGGACAGTATCATAAAATAAATAAATTAAGAAACTAAAAGTTTTTTTTCCTACTGAAACCATGCTGTTGAAATTATCTGACAAGATAAAACAAGCAGAATATCTTGCTTTTCTCCTAGTTAAAATGTATTTTTACTCATCTTCATTTATACATTTTCATAATGGATTACTTCAGACACCACAAACTACTGTAAATAAGCACTAATTATCCTTGATCAAGAGGAGCTTCCAAAGTAGAATTCAATTACAAACTAAAATAAACTTTCAAACATCTTAAGAATAAAAATTTCTCTCACTCAAATTATTTATACTTCTCCATTTATTATATATTATTTCTTTTGTTATCATTTATTCATATTTATATGGGGCATGATAATATAAGTGGCCAAAAGTCTAGAACTTGCTCTTAACCATTTCCTTATCAGCAAGTCATGCTCTATTCTTCAATTTCCCACTGTCTTTAGTACTAGCTTCTGGCTTTATTCTTTTGAGGTATACATTAGCCTTCACAGCCCAAGTCAGTCAGTTTCTGATGAGTGAAATTAAGAATGAAGGTGAGGAAACGATGCACCTGGATTAATGCCAGCTTCAGGGAATGGAATTAGAAGTGAGAACAATGCCAAAGCAAACTAAGCCGTCTTTTACTTACAGATGACACATGCTGCAAGAGACACATGACATCAATCATGTCCGCAAGGATAAGGAGTCTGGTAACTGCAGCCAACAAGGCACGAGCAGCTTGAACCACAGCCTCCCTTTTTGGGAGATAACAGGGGTCATCTGTAAATCTCTCAGCTGATACCTTCAGAGCTTCACCTGAAAAACATAGTCCAAAATAAGTTACACTTAAGTTTTATATCTATTTCAGCATTTATCAGCCAAACTAATTGCAAGTACATTCCGTGACTAAGCATAATATTAAAATACTATCAGTTGATGCTAGGACATTTTCTCTTAATAAACAAACTAAGGTTCAAACTGACATTTGTTTTTGATAAATGCTCTGAAATTTAAGAAGCATGATCCCATCTTACTGCAAGAAAATTATGCTCAGTTGAGTAGATAACATCCAGTAAAAGTTGCTATCAACTTCTGCATTTGCTGAATCTTAATTGCTGTGAAAGATTTCATTACAAGACTTCAATCATAAACACTTCTGTCTACAAAAATAACTTAAATCTTCATCAAGTTACTTTTTAACTCAATGGATATTAGAAAAGAACTAGCCTTTAAAATGAAAGCCGCTCTCTAATAAAAGTTTAACATAGGCTGATTTATTCTATACCAATATAGTCAATTGTATTCTAAATTTAGTCACAGAAGTAATACTTCACAGAACATAATTGTCAGAGAAATGCCATGTCTACTACTTTTAAGGTCTTTTAGATTAATTTTTTTATTATAAATATAATGTGTATTCATTTGTTTTTAAGAGTTCCCAGTTCAGAAGGGTCTAAGATGAAAAAGAAAAAGTTTCCTTTTCCCTAATCAAGAAATATAATTCATAATTTCCATGTCTATTTTTTTAATTTTTTAAACTTATTTTTATTATAAAAGTAATATGTGCCCATTTCTTTTACATAATATACCATATAAAGAGTATAAAGTAAAATTCTAAAATTCTCCATGCTAATTCCTAAAAACATCAACTATTCATTCATCCCTTTATCTAGAAATATTTCCATGAAGATATAGCTTACATGTATGTGTATATATAAGCATATATGTATATGCTTTATACATAAATGTGTGAATATTTTATTTATGTATGTTTTATGAAAATTTATATTGATTTGTTTTCCATAAAGAGATTTGATATCATAAGAAAACATTTATTTTACATATTATAAATGGAAAATATAATAGAGACATAAAACATTTGCACAAGTGGTTGCATACTGTAGAAATTTTCTACAACATGTTATTTTCACTTACTAGTTTATTTTCTTTTCACATTGGAATATAGGTGATCAGGCAGTAATATAATCCATCAATGAACAGTGTGGATTCAAGTCAGACTGTTTCAATGCCTCTGTCCTTGGACAAGTCACTTAACTTTTTATGACTCATTTTCCTTTTTTGTAAATGGAGTAATAATAACAACAAATATCTACGATTTTATGAGGAATAAATAAGAGCACTTGGCACTTAACAAACACTTGATTAGTGTCATAATTATTTTAAATGATTTATTGACATACTAAAATATGAATATTTTAGTTTTCACTTGTGAACTTCAACATAACAAATGGAATAAATTATTGTTAAGAAAAAAATATTAACTACTCTTCACCTCCCTGGAACTCAGGTGTCCTCCTGGCTCCAGTCCACCTCTGAGTCCTGCTCAACTCCCAGGACTACCGCAATGCCCACACTGACCATCCGAGCCGGCCTGCTTGATCTCCCACCCCAGCCCCAGAGCTCACCTGGTCCTGCCTCTCCTCCTGTTGATGGGGTGAAGGTGGGAGTTCATAACCCACTAGAATCAAAGTGTGGAATATGATATGTCAAGAAATTTGTAATGTTTTGAACAACCCACAATAAAAAATTAAAAAAAAAAAAAGATGGAAAGACCACCCATGTTCTTGAATAGGCAGAATCAATATCCTCAAAATGGCCATATTACTCAAAGCAACATACAGATTCAATGCAATCCCTATCAAAATACCAGTAACATTCTTCACAGAATTAGGAAAAAAAACCTAAATTAATTAATTCTTAAATTAATTTGGAAGAATAAGAGACTTGGGCTGGGGATGTGGCTCAAGCGGTAGCGCGCTCGCCTGGCATGCATGTGGCCCGGGTTCGATCCTCAGCACCACATACAAACAAAGATGTTGTGTCCACCGAAAACTAAAAAATAAATATTTTTTTTAAAAAAAAAAAAAAAAAAAAAAAAAAAAAAAAAATATTGTTTCTTATCACAGACAAAACCTGTGAAGAGAGACTGGTACTGCCTCAACATGTTACAGTCTTTCATTTCGCTCTCTTAAGCAACTCCATGTTAGGAACTCAGATTCTGAAATCACATTCTTCTGAAATCACATTCTTATCCATCACTTCTTGTTCTAGGAACTTGGACACTTAAATATTTTCAGTGTCCTTATCTACATGGAAAAGATATAAAATATTACTGGTCTCACAGTGTTTCTGGGATATTTAGATAATTCATATTTTATATTTAGCACTATATCTGAAGCAGAGAATGCACTCAACAAAGAGTAACCATTATTTCTCAGGAAATTTCTAGTAAAGATGGTAAATTTTTAAGAACAATAAATGGATGATTTTTGTGTGCTTCTCTGCAAGTCATAACTGCTACTAGGAGACTGAAAAATTAAACTGACCAAAATTTAGAGAGCAGATGTATTTCCACACACACAAAAAAAAATAAAAAATAAAAAGATTATCTGTTCCTACTGTGACTCTGAATGGAGAGTTATAATGGCCTTTTGTAGAATACTGTTTTTGATTTCATATACCAAAACTAAATATATATCAAAAAAGAATTATGTATTTTTGACTCAAACAAATGTTAGGATATTGAACAACTGGGCTGAAGAACCATACTCAGAAAAAGATCATTTGAACAACTATTTTAGTCTTTGTTAAGGTAAAGCCAGTCAGGTAATACAGCTGGAAGGAGAAAAGTCACTCCCTGAAGTCATTAAAATAGAGGCTGTGAGTTAACTTCCTATTATTGGATTTGTCCCCACTTACCACCCCCTGCTCCCATCTAAGTACTCCTAAGCCTTTTCAGTTGGTTTTAGCTCATACTTCTGGGCCCAACTTAAAAATCACTTTGTCTGCAAAGCCTTAGACCCCCATTATTAAGGCATGTGATACAGCAGGATTCTATGCTTCTGATCGTAACACCTCATATCCATGTAATGAACAATTAGTGTTAAAGTCTATCTTCTGTATCATAAGACTAGTAAAAGCAAGAGTTGCATTGGTCCTGTCATCAATGCAATATTCCCAGGATCTAGAATAGTGCCTGCTTTATCTTCTGTATTCAATATACTAGATTGTTGAATGAATATGTGAATCAGCATTATTCAATTTTTTGACAAAATGTATTATTCCTATATGACACATGACAACACCCTAGGCACCCAGGATATGGAGATTGGTACGAACCAATTTTGCAACCCAAAAAGTTCATAATCAAATGAGAGTCAACAAACTCGGATAGATACAATCTAAGGAGGGTGCTGGAGAGGCCTGTATAGATTACAAGACACAGAGAAGGACCTACCTCTGCCTGAATGTTAGAGGTCAGAGGAATATTCTAAGAGCAAAATGTTTCAATTGCTGACAAAGAGCTAGTTTATTGACTATAGCCAGTTCATTGTCAAATTTTCTGTCAGAAGAAAATGCTATTTTCCTAATTAAATAGAAAAAAAATTTTCTTAATTACATGTGGAGGATCTACAGTTTTAAAATAGTGTTCCCAATCTTGCTTATCATGCTTTAACTTTGAAGTTTAATGGTTAGTGTTATGGTTTAGATATTAGGTGCCCCCAAAAGATCATGGGTGAGATAATTCAAGAAAGTTTAGATTTAATAACCTAGTCAGTGCATTAATCCCCTGATAGGGATTAACTGGGTGGTAATTATAGACAGGTAGGTTGTGGCTGAAGGACTCAGATCCCTGGGTCATGCCTTTGGGATATTTTGCCCTTGTTGAGCAGAACTCTCCCTCTTCTGCTTCCTCTCCCTCCCTTCTCTCCACCCCACTCCTTCCTGGTGTCCTGTTCCCAGCTGCTTTCCTCTGCACAATGTTTCCACCATAATGTTCCACCTCACCTCAGCCCCAAGTAATGGAGTTGGCCAACTATGGACTGAGACTTCCAAAACCATGAGCCCCAAAATGAACTTTTCCTTCTCTACATTGTTCTTGTCAGGTCTTTTGGTAACCACAGGGAAAAAAAATTGACTAAAACAATTAGGAGAATCAATTTTTTAAAATACATACAAATTACTACATTTTTCCTTCATAAATACCACCCCATTCATAAAAGCAATTAACTAAAGGTCTTTAAAAATACCACAAAAGTTAGGCACAGAAAGCTTTTTTCTACTGGACTCATTTGGCTCATTCCTATAAAATCTGCTCTTTTAAATCTTAAAACAAAAATCAATTATGAAATCCCTGTTTAAATAAGGTACAAAATTATAAGCATATGAGTAGTTACAGAGTTATGTCTCAAGCAATATAAGTGTAATATATAAAAATTTCTGAATATAAAAAGCTGATATATGAAATTATTATGTGATAAGTAAACCTCACAAGTACAAAAAGAAAGTTTTGACCAAATATACACATTACAAAATATTCTTCACTTTACAATGATTCCTAAATAGTATTTTACAAGTTCCTTTACTGCATTTAAAAATGATCCTACTTCTCAAAGAGATTATGTTGATTGTGAACTTGAAAATCAAACAAAATATGGAATAAGTAAAACATCCAGAGGAGAAAGAAGAAAAACCATATTGAAGAGGAGCAGGTACTAACATTCAATATCCTCCAACTTTTGTAATTAAGATTGTGTTTATGATTAAATTAAGATTTCTAGAATATGCCTCTGGTCATCCTTCTGAGTGTGTGTGTGTGTTTTAATATACACATATAATAAGCACTAGTGACTACTAATTGATTCAATATATAATAACATACTCTGGTATAATGGGGTTCACAGATTGAAATTGGGCACTAAGGGTTTGGTTTTATTTGTTTTTAATTGGGAAACTGCCAATTTGAATTTGAAAGCTCCTAAGAGGTAGAAGCTTGAATATAACTTTGGAGCAGA